GTTGTGGTGGCACATGCCTGTAATCCCAGCTACTCAGGAGGCTGAGGCAGGAGAATCACTTGAATTTGGGAAGCAAAGGTTGCAATGAGCTGAGATCGTGCCATTGCACTCTAGCCTGGGTGACAGAGCAAGACTCCATCTCAAAAAATAAAAAAGCACCTTAACAGTAACCTAACTTTATGTTCCCTCTAGCCCCATCCTATCCCCCTATCTGTAAGAACAGTTATACTGAATCCCATAGTGAGAACTGTTCTTTTCCCCACAGTGATAACCATTCTTTCCTCCTTACATGGTTTTACTGCAAACATGTTTTTTTACATGTTTTTCAACTCTTAGTTGTATTTAATTTTATAGCACCGCTAGTCATTAGAGAAATACAAATTAGGATCACAACAAGGTATCGAGACACACCCACTAGAACAAAGTTAGTTTATTTATATTTATTTATTTATTTATTTTTGAGACAGGATCTCCTTCTGTTGCCCAGACTGGAGTGCAATGGTGTGATCTCAGCTCACTGCAACTTCCACCTCCTGGGTGCAAGTGATTCTCATGCCTCAGTCTCCCAAGCAGTTGGAATCACAGGCATGTGCCACTACACCCAGCTAATTTTTGCATTTTTAGTAGAGACGGGGTTTCACCATGTTGGCCAGGCTGGTCTCAAACTCCTGACCTTAATTAAGTGATCCCCCTGCCTCAGCTTCCCAAAGTACTGGGATTACAGATGTAAGCCACCATGCCTGGCCCACTGGAATAAAGTTTAAGATTTATCATCCTAAGTGTTAGCAAAGATGTGGAGAAACTGGACCTCTCATACATTGCTGATGGTAATGTAAAATAGTAGCTCCACTTTGGAAAATAGTATGGTAGAACCTTATAAACATATATTTACTATATGACCTAGCAATTCCATTCCTAAGTATTTACTCAAAAGAAAACATGGGCCAGGCACAGTGATTCACACCTGTAATCCCAGTACTTTGGAACGCCAAGGCGGATGGATCATCTGAGGTCAGGAGTTCAAGATCAGTCTGGCCAATATGGCGAAACCCCATCTCTACTAAAAATACAAAAATTGGCCAGGTGTGGTGGCAAGTACCTGTAATCCCAGCTACTCAGGAAGCTGAAGCATGAGAATCGCTTGAACCCGGGAGGTGGAGGTTGCAGTGAGCGGAGATCAAGCCATTGAACTCCAACCTGGACAAGAAAATGAGACTATGTCTCAAAAAAAAAAAGAAAGAAAAAAGAAAAGAAAACATGTACTCGCAAAATTATATACCCAAACAGTCTTAGCAGCATTATTAATAATAGCTGCAAATTGGAAGCAACTCAAATGTCCATCAACTGGTGAATAAACAAAATGGTGGTATATCTCCACCATGGAATACAATTCGGCAATAAAAAGGAACGAAACATTAATACAACAAAATGAATCTCAAAAACATTATACTAAGTCAAAGAAGTCAAATACAAAAGACTACATATTGTATGATCCCATGTATATATGCAAAAATTTCCCAAGACCAGATATTTGAAAGGATTATCCAGGATTCACAGCGCATAATCACCCAAGATTTCTATTTAAAGGCAAAGGACACAAGGCACCAAGAGAAAAACAGAGTAGGTACACATCAGGAATCTCAGAGCTTCCCAAAACAAGCTCCCCATGGTCCTTACGCATATGTGGACTGCACTGTGAAGGGCCTTTGGATTGAATCATCATGATCCATGTGAGAAATCCATCCTGGTTTGGAAGAGCTCAAATCAGAAGTTCCCAGCAGGGCTTTTATGTTGCTCTGGCCATGTAATCAAGCCAAACATATGTAACTGGTTAGACCAGCTGGAAATAATCCATAAAGGGAGTGACCAGTGGAGCTTCAGACTTTATTTAAAAAAAAATTTTTTTCAAATAGAGTCTGTCACCCAGGCTGTAATGCAATGGCACAATCTCGGCTCACTGCAACCTCCGCTTCCCATGTTCAAGCAATTCTGTCACCCCAATCTACCAAGTAGCTGAGATTACAGGAACCTGCCATCATGCCCAGCTAGTTTTTGTATTTTTTAAGAGATGGGGTTTCACCATGTTGGCCAGGCTGGTCTTGAACTCCTGGCCTCAGGTGATCCACCTGCCTCAGCCTCCCAAAGTGATGGGATTACAGGTGTGAGCCACCACACCTGGCCGAGCTTCATACTTTAAACAGCACATTATAAATCCCAATGCCTTTATTTATTATTATTATTTTTTGAGACAAAGTCTCACTCTGTTGCCCAGGCTGGAGTGCAGTGGCACAATCATAGCTCATTGCCGCCTCAAACTCCTGGGCTCAAGTGATCCTCCTGCTTCAGCCTCCTGAGTAGCTGGGACAACAGGCACATGCCAGCACACCCAGCTAATTTTTTTTTTTTTTGGTAAAGACCAGGTCTTGCTATATTGTCCAGGCTGATCCAGAACTCCTGGACTCAAGTGATCCTCCCACCTCAACTTCCCAAAGTGCTGGGATTACAGGCATAAGCCACTGTGCCTAGCCTATTTTCTACATCTTGATGATAACGGTGACTATACTATTATATGCAATTATCAAAATTTATTTATTTATTTATTATTTTATTTTTTTGAGATGGAGTTTCGCTGTTGTTACCCAGACTGGAGTGCAATGGCATGATCTCAGCTCACCGCAACCTCTGCCTTCTGGGTTCAAGCAATTCTCCTGCCTCACCGTCCCGAGTAGCTGGAATTACAGGCACGCGCCATCATGCCCAACTAATTTTTGTATTTTTAGTAGAGACGGGGTTTCACCTCGTTGACCAGGATTGTCTCGATCTCTTGACCTCGTGATCCACCTGCCTCAGCCTCCCGAAGTGCTAGGATTATAGGCGTGAGTCACCACACCCAGCCTCAAAATTTATTAAATAATACATTTAAAATTTATGAACTTGAGAAATAAAATTTATGAACTATATTGTATGTAAAGAATAACTCCATAGAAAAGAAAAAAACCTTTCATCCAGAAAGGGCATCATGCTACATTTACTCTTCTGGGATTAAACTTTTTTCACTCAATTATTTTATTGCTCAGAGTCATCCATATGGTTAGGTATCATTATAGTTCATTTGTTTTGACAATTGTATAATATTCTATTATGTGAATATTCTAATTTACTTGCCCACTCTCTTGCTCATGGGCATCTGGGTTAGTTCTAGGCTTTTCCTTTTGTGAATAGGGCTGCTGTGAATATTCTTGTACATGTCTCCTGATGTACCTGTGTGAGTTTCTCTAGGATTTATTCCCGGTATTGGATTAACTGGGTTATAGGGTAGTTGAATGTTCAATTATAGCAGATAAACTGTTTTCCAAAGTAGTTCTCTGAATCTCTCTGTCCCAATTAAATTATGACTCTAGAGCGACCCTCCCATCTTGAATTACCACTGCTTAGCATTCAATTAGCACCAGGCTGGATATTGAGGAGTCTAAGGGCAGAAGCCCAGGCACCTGAGTCCTCTTAGCCTCAACAAATACTAAGTACTATACAGAGTGAACAGCATGCAGGGACCATATGCCACACATGAAGGCTGGTTAGGGTCCTACTCAGAAAACCAGCCATCCTCCTTGAAGCTCCATCTTCCTAGCTTCACCGGATTTTGAGTCTGAGAGAGATTCCAGGGCCCTGAATTACAATGCAAATCCCAAAAGAAGGCTTAACCTCAGCTAAATTCCCTCCTCAACTGACACCTCTAATACCCAAATAAGGATAAGCAGGAAAGGCAGAAAGGACAAAAAGAGTGGCAGGAAGAGGAGAAACAAGCAAAGTGAAAAGAGCCAAGAAGCCTTCAGATATGGAAGTTACAGAGTTATTTTCTATGGAGTTATTCTTTACATACAATATAGTTATATACCCTTTTCTGCACAAGGAACAGTTTTCCAGGAAAAAAAAAAAAAGTTTAAAAAGAAAATATCCGCAAGTGACCCTGGGCAATTCTTTATAACCCTGCCACTTAAAAGTTACTTTCTTTTGGCTAAAGTTACAAAAATAACATATCAAGTATGCAGTCAGTAAATAATATAATCTCACCCTGAACATAGAGTATGCAGTGAAGCCCTGTGGTGCCGAGAGAAGAGTGAGGGATTTGGGGTGGGCCAAAGAACGGGTACCAGAGCTCAGCTGCAGATTAGAAACAACAAAAAAATCTGGAATATAAAACAAAACATCAAGAGATTCCTATGTGTTCAGAAAGAAAAAGGAGAGTTACCATTCCCAAGGATGAGGAAGCCCAGTAATTCCCCACAATCCCAACTGCTACATCTCCAAGAGCTCTCTAGCTACCTGTCATACACAAGGTCTGGGAATACTTGCTAGATGAATGAATAAAGAACAAGGCACGCCCAAGAGTATAATGGTTTTGTGGCAGAAGCAGCCTCCCAAGCCACATTTGGGCAGCAGTACTGTTGACAGCAGGAATGGCCAGAATTATTCAGCTCAGGAGGGCTTTTCCAATGTGAGTAGTAAGCAGATTATTTACTTGTTCCTTAAATTAGATCATAGGCCATAAGGAGAAACTAGGCAAGTTTATTTGGGCCTGGTGGCTGCTCAAGACTGATCAGGTGGAACTCACATCAAGGGTGACAGGGGCTCAGTAACTGGCTACTACTCACACCTGTAATCCCAGCACTTTGGGAGGCCGAGGTGGGGGTGGGGTGGATTACCTGAGGTCAGGAGTTCAAGATCAGCCTGACCAACATAGAGAAACCCTGTCTCTACTAAAAATACAAAATTAGCCAGGCAAGGTGGCACATGCCTGTAATCCTAGCTACTCAGGAGGCTGAGGCAGAAGAACTGCTTGAACCCAGGAGGCAGAGGTTGCAGTGAGCTGAGATCGCACTGTTGCACTCCAGCCTGGGCAACAAGAGTGAGACTCCATCTCAAAAAAAAAGGAAAAGGAAAAATATAACTAATGGCACTTAAACTGACATGAAATCCCCAACTGCAGCCCCAGGTCTATGGAGCTTTAACAACTTTATTGGTCAAATGCTTCTTCCCACGTTTACAACTTAAAGCGTGAGCCTGCTCACTGGCTCCTCCTTCTAAGGCCCTAAGTGGGCAGTGAACTTTAGTACAAGCCTGCAATGGGGTGGGGGGTAATGAGTGAGTTAGAAACCTGCTGATGCTCCACAACTGGACAGCAGGACAGAAAATCTTCACCTTCTTATTGTCGAAAACTGCAAAAAGACACAAATAGGATAGAGACAAGACCCAGAATGCATCTCTACTGGTCTCAGTTTCTGGTGCCTCCAACGGAGTATATGTTTGTCTTCTCGCTTCAGGGATTGGGTGATGCTACGTCAGCCTACACATTTTGCAGAAGTACATAGGGCCAAAATTGGCAGTGAGGTTTGGTATTACCAGCTCCCCAACCTCGCAGGATGAGAAGAAACAAAATGTATCCATGAAAAGCCTTCGGAAGTGAGTCAGATCTTCCACCTGCACCTGGATGCTGTATTGATTGGCCAGAAGCTCAATGGCACCTTGCACTACATATTCGTTCTGTAAGTGTGAGAGTGAGCAGGTGGAATAGACAACGTGGCCTCCTGGTTTGGTGGCAAGGAGTCCAGCCCTGAAACCAGAAAGAGATAGAAGCATGACTAGTGCGCTTCCAGAAGTAGAAGAGCAACATAAGGAACTTGAAACATGGATAAGGGAAGGCTACTATGGGATGGGTCGCTGGATTAGACAGCCTCTCAAATCCCTTCCACAATGACACTGCCTGAAAAAGTCATTCTCAAGGCAGAAAGCAACCCAAACTGCCAGGCGCGGTGGCTCACGCCTGTAATCCTAGCACTTTGGGAGGCCAAGGTGGGTGGATCACCTGAGGTCAGGAGTTCAAGACCAGCCTGGCCATGATGGTGAAACCCCATCTTTTAAAAAAAAAAGGAAAGCAACCCAACCTTACTCCATGAGTTCCTCACTAGGAAGTCTTCTTACAATGACCCCCCCTGAGGTCTGTCTGACTCTGTTTATGGACCAAATTGCTATGCTGGCTATGGATTGAGTTTTACTCCAGCAGCTATTTTTCAAACATGTGCTAGTAACTGAGGGCAAAAAATCATAATGAATCTGTACAGCCCACTCTTGTATGCATGTCCTATCAGATAGGATTTTTTTTTTTTGAGACAGAGTCTTGCTCTGTTACCCAGGCTGGAGTGCAGTGGCACGATCTTGGCTCACTGCAGCCTCCACCTCCTAGGTTCAGGAGATCCTCCTCCCACAGCTCCCTGAGTAGCTGGGACTACGGGTGTGCATCACCACACCCGGCTAATTCAGATAGAGTTTTTATGTTCCAGAGATAATCCCATGATTTCTGTCTCCTCTAGGCAGATCTCCAGTCCTAAGACTCCTGTGTGGGTAATGGTCCTGGCAAAAGCTTCCAGTCCCCAAGTCTCCCAGGTGACCAGACTCCCACAGCACCCTGGCACAAAGTCCTGAGTTCTTAAAAATCTGTCACTCACGCAAGAAGCTGCACTTGCAGCAGAGGCAACATCTGTCGCTCCTTCTTCCTTGACCGCTTAAAGATGTTGTTCTCCTCCTCATGAAGGGAGTGGCGGTCTGTGGTACAGGGCACATCCACCAGCACCTACCCAGAGTGTTAAAGGGTAAAGTATTAAAGCTCCTTATAGGCTTCTCTTCCTTAGGCCAGAGCTGTTTTAGGTCCCTGGCCTAGGAGGTTTGTGTAATACTCCCTCTGCCCATTATTCCTCTGCAGAGTACCTGACAAAGTTCCTCATTTTAACTTGGTAGACAACTGTGAAATAATGAGTGGGGAAATAGCATATTTGGGAATATTTGTGGCTGGTCAAAAAGTCAAAACCAACATACTATAATTTTTTTTTAATTTTTAGAGACAAATCTTGCTCATTTGCCCAGACTGAAGTACAGTGGTACGATCATAGGTCACTGCAGCCTCAGACTCCCTGGGATCAATCCTCGCACCTCAGCCTCCTGTGTAGCTGGAGCCACAGATGCAAACCACCACTCCTGACTAATTTTTGTATTTTTGGAGGGACAGCATCTCGCTATGTTGCCCAGGCTAACTATAAGATAATTCTTTAAACAGTGTACTTATGATTTGGTCACTTCTATGTTATAATCTAATAGGAAAGTTATTACAGTCTGGGTAACAAAGTGAGACCCCCATCTGTACAAAAAAATTTTTTTAATTAGCTGGGCATATAGCTGAAATGGAAGGAACACCTGAGCCCAGGAGGTTGAGGCTGAAGTAAGTTGAGATTGTGCCACTGTAATTGAGATACAGTGAAACTTTGTCTCAAAAAAATAAATAAATAAAATTATTAGAAAATTATGACAGGAGGCTGGGTGCAGTGGCTCACATCTGCAATCCCAGCACTTTGGGAGGCCGAGGAGGGCAGATCACTTGAAGGTCAGGAGTTCAAGACCAGCCTGACCAACATGGCGAAACTCCATCTCTACTAAAAAAAATGCAAAAAAAAAAAAATTAGCTGGGTGTGGTAGCAGCGCTCCTGTAGTCCCAGCTACTCAGGAGGCTAAGGTTGGAGAATTGCTTGAACCTGGGAAGCAGAGGTTGCAGTAAGCCAAGATCATGCCACTATGCTCCAGCCTGGGTGACAAAGTCAGACTTTGCCTCAAAAAAAAAAGGAAAATTGGCTAGGCGTGGTGGTTCATGCCTGTAATCCCCGCACTTTGGGAGGCTGACGTGGGTGGATTACCTGAGGTCAGGAGTTTGAGACCGGCCTGACCAACATGATGAAACCCCATCTCTACTAAAAATATAAAAATTAGCCGGGCATAGTGGTGGGCGCCTATAATTCCAGCTACTCAGGAGGCTGAGGCAGGAGAATCACTTGAACCCAGGAGGTAGAGGTTGTAGTGAGCTGAGATCATGCCATTGCACTCCAGCCTGGGTGACAGAGTGAGCCTCCGTCTCAAGAAAAAAAAAAAAAGAAAGAAAGAAAGCTGTGGGAGTTTCCCCAACCCAAAAGGGAAGAAATGTCTACAGATTATTTCCTTACTCCTTCTCAGTGTCCTGAGGAGTGGCCAGAACTCTTGGGAAGATGGCTGCAAGGTATACTTAGGAACACTGAACTCCTGAGCCCCTAATGCATAGAAAGAGCAGAGCTATGTAATTGCAAGGGGACTATAAATCAATGGCAATATATCTGAATATCTTGGTTCTAATATATTTCTAATATTGCTTCAGTAGTGTCAACTGTGGAAAATGTTCATTTTGGGAGGCCAAGGCCAGCGGATCACTTAAGCCCAGGAGTCCGAGAACAGCCTGGGCAACATGACGAAACCCCATCTCTACAAAAAAATTTTTTTTAAATTAACTGGGTATGGCAGTCTCAGCTACTTGAAAGGATGAGGCAGGAGAATTGCTTGAGACCAGGAGGCAGAGGTTGCAGTGAGTCAAGATTGTGCCATTGACTCCAGCCTGGGTAATGGGAGTAAAACCCTGTCTTTAAAAAACATGTTGATCTCACTCAGTAACAGAAGAAAGAAAAGGAAGTTGTACTACACTTAGGAAACATTTAGGGAGGGTAGTCAAATCATTCCACGTCAGACATGTGCATCTTCGCATCAGGCACTGGCATGGATGTCAGTCATAAATAATCAGTCCTGCCAGGATCGTGCTCCTGCTTAATCTCAGCCCTGGGCAAGTGTCTAACAAATATTTCTATTAATATTAATTTGTAGAATATTGTATTGTAAGGGAAGATAGAAACATGTTCAAACAAACATTGTATTATTTGAAATAAACTTGAGTTCACAAAAAAAATACAGTTGTGAGTTGGGGGAAGAGTGTCTTCCATGAACATGCAGATTTCTGAGGTCCTGTCCCTTCTCCAGCTGATAGACAACTGAAGCCAGGAGAGGGATAGAGTTACCAAGAGTGTGTAGAGCCCTGAGATAGCATTCTTCTTTGCATCTAAAGTGCCTAACGCGGCTGGGCACGGTAGCTCGCTCCTGTAATCCCAATGCTTTGGGAGGCTGAGGCAGGAGGATCATTTGAGCTCAGAAATTCAAGACCAGCCTGGACAACACAGTGAGACCTCATCTCTACAAAAACTTAAAAAACTAGCTGGGCATAGTACACATGCCTGTAGTTCCAACTGCTTGGGAGATTGAGGGAGGAGGATCACTTAAGCCCAGAAAGTTAAGAATGCAGTGAGCCATGATTGTGCCACTGCAATCCAGCCTGGGCAACAGAGCAAGACCTTGTCTCAAATAAAGTGCTTAACACTTGCCTACCACAGAGTATATTGTATACAACTAATTTTTCAACAAGCAAATTAACAAAGACATCTTCAAACATCAAAGCTGTCAAGTGAAATAGGAGGTCACTCATTCTTTTTTTTTTTTTGAGATGGAGTTTCACTCTTGTTACCCAGGCTGGAGTGCAATGGTGCGATCTCGGCTCACCGCAACCTCCACCTCCTGGGTTCAGGCAATTCTCCTCCCTCAGCCTCCTGAGTAGCTGGGACTACAGGCACATGCCACCATGCCCAGCTAATTTTTTGTATTTTTAGAAGAGATGGGGTTTCACCATGTTGACCAGGATGGTCTTGATCTTTTGGGAGGTCACTCATTCTATATTGTTCTAAAACACGTATCTAGGATCAATGAATAGAAATAATAATAATAATGGTGGCCAGGTGTGGTGGCTCACACCTGTAATCCCAGCACTTTGGGAGGCCAAGGTGGGCGGATCATGGGGTCAGGAGTTCGAGACCAGCCTAACCAATATGGTGAGACCCCCCTATCTCTACTAAAAATACAAAAATTAGCCAGGCATAGTGGCACATGCCTGTAGTCCAAGCTACTTGGGAAGCTGAGACAGAAGAATTGCTTGAACCCAGGAGGCAGAGGTTGCAGTGAGCGGAGATCACTACACTCCAGCCTGGGTGACAGAGAGAGACTCCATCTTAAAAAATAATAACAATAATAATGGTAAGGGTTGTGATGTTATACTATTGAATGTTTTCTATATTCCACACTTTGTGTGAAATGCACTGTTATTTAATTTTGACCTACAGGATAGGCACTATACTATTATCCTCATTTTATAGATGAAAAAGCTGAAGCTTAACTGAAAAGTTAGGAAAATCACCAAAACTTCTCTGGCAAAAAAAAAAAAAAGCTACAAAATAAAAAACTTCTCTGGCTAACGAGTAATGAAACCAGGACTAATAAAGCAGTCTAACTCCAGAATCCTTGCACTCACCCACATACCATGCAATCTACAGACTTCAGTAAGAGGCAGAACTTTCTAACATTATAAGTGTTCAACCACAGAATCTGAGTGAGCACCACCCATCAATGGATGTGTGTAAACATAGGCTAATGATAATGGTTCCTGCTTGCCTGATGTTCACCACCAGGTACTCTCACTGAATCCTCACAATAATCCTAAGTGGTAGGTTTACCCTATTTCACAAATGAAGAAGTTGAAGTTCAGCAAGATCAACAGCTTGTCTAAGGTAGCACCCCTATAATGTAGAAACTGGTTAGGCTGACAGCAGAGGTCATGCTCCAGCCACCATGATCTGCTGCTCTCATATATAATCCCAGCACTTTGGGAGGCTGAGGCGAGTGGATCACCTGAGGTCAGGAATTCAAGACCAGCCTGACAAACATGGTGAAACCCTGTCTCTACTTAAAAAAATTAGCCAGTCATGGTGGTGCATACCCGTAATCTCAGCTACTTGCGGGGCTGAGGCAGGAGAATCACTTGAACCTGGGAGGCGGAAGTTTCAGTGAGCCAAGATTGCACCACTGCCAGCCTAGGCAACAAGAGCAAAACTTTGTCTCAAAAAAACTTTTTTTTTTTAATAAATAGGGGATTCCTACACAGGCAGAAAGCAAGTCTCAAGTCTATCCAAGATTCCATAAGCCTTGGTTTTTCTTTCAGTTTCTTAGAGTGGTTGAGGCAGAATGGTGAGAACTAGACAGATTAGGTAAATCAGATGACAACACAGAGACAACAGCCATATATATATATATATATATATATTTTTTTTTTTTTTTGAGACGGAGTTTCGCTCTTGTCACTCAGGCTGAAGTGCAATGGCATGATCTAGGCTAACCGCAACCTCTGCCTCCTGGGTTCAAGCAATTCTCCTGCCTCAGCCTCCTGAGCAGCTGGGACTACAGGCGTGCGCCACCATGCCCAGCTAATTTTTGTACTTTTAGTAGAGATGGGGTTTCACCATGTTGACCAGGATGGTCTCGATTCCTTGACCTCATGATCCACCTGCCTCAGCCTCCCAAAGTGCTGCAATTATAGGTGTGAGCCACTGTGCCCGGCCTATTTTATATATTTTTAAAAATATGTGTTCTAAACACATATTTTTAGAGTATGCCATTTAAAAGAAAAGAAATAACTTAAAAACATGAAGAGACTGGCCGAGCACAGTGGCTCGCAACTATAATCCCAGCACTCAGGGAGGCTGAGGTGAGAGGGCTGCTTAAGTCCAAGATTTCAAGGCCAGCCTCGGTAACACAGTGAGACTCCATCTCTACAAAGAATAATTAGCAGCTGGGCATGGTGGTGCACTCCTCTAGTCTCAGCTACTAGGGAAACTGAGGCAGGAGGACCCCTTGAGCCCTGGAGGTTGAGGATGCAGTGAGCTGTGTTCACACCACTGTACTCCAGCCTGGGTGACAAAGCAAGAACCTGTCACTCAAAATAAATAAATAAATAAATAAATAAATAATATGGAGACTTAGCAATCTCTATCAAAATCTAAAATGCATATAAATTGTTATCCAACAACTACACTTCAAAAATATAAACTTAAAAAAAAAAAAAACACACAAAAATATAAACAATCTTAACCCCAGTACACATTATTAAATGAAAAAATACAAAGTTCAGAAGTGAGTATAATATACTACCACTATTTAAAAAAAAACCACACATACATTTACATTCATATATACAAATAACATATTTTTAAAGATACAGAAAAAAAGTAGAAACAATGGTTATCTATAGGGTGGGGAAGTAGAGGGCTACAGGCCAGAAGAGAGAAACTCACTTTTCCCTGGATACTCTTTTGTGCCTTCTGAATTTTGTACCATGTGCTGCACTAACATTCAAAAATAAATAAATGGGCTGGGCACAGTGGCTCACACCTGTAATCCCAGCACTTTGGGAGGCTGAGGCGGGTGGATCACCTGAGGTTGGAAGTTTGAGTCCAGCCTGACCAACATGGTGAAACCCAGTCTCTTTAATTATTTAAATAAAAAATAAAATATTAAAAAAATAATAAAATAAATAAATGAGCTTAATCATACTTATCTTCATGAGGCTTTCTGAGCAACCAAGTAACTTGAGAAATAAAGTAAGCCTAATAACTTCTTTCCCCACTCAGATAGGTTAAAATTCTTTTTTGCTGCCAACTGTCTTTAATGAAGATAATAATCAGTCATCTAAGCTGATTTTTCTTTCTTTCTTTCTTTCTTTCTTTTTTTTTTTTTTTGGTCAAATCACCAATGGAGAGTTGGCCAGGTCCAGAAATAGTCCTACATGCTCAAACACAGGGGCTAGATCCTACCCCTCTGGCCCTGGGGCCAGGATGGGGAGGCCATATTAAGCTGGATGCATGCCCTAAGTCAAGAATCACTCACCCGGTCAAAGGTGTCCCCCTCTAGTTCTCCCCATTTCCTGCCATCCCATGAGGTAACTCGAACTTGATTTCCATCCCTGATCTCTTGAGGCACATAGCTGTGAAGGATCTTCTGTAGTCTGGCTATTCGGGAAGTGGAGAGATCATTGGAAGCAAGATTGCCTGTGGAAATAAAGATATTTCAGAGTCATTGTACCAGTGAAACATTCCACCAGCAATGGCACTGATGGAGTCAGACCAATTCTCAGGCAGTCCCAGCCAACACAAACCCGAGCATCAGGAACATTTATTATTTGCACGGCAGAGCATCAGTTATTCTGGAGTGGGGTTACAAAGGCAAACACCTACATAGGCCAGAAAGTAAGGAAGTTGTTTAAATAAATGAATAAAGCAGATCAGGTAAGACTCCTTTCCTTTCCTGTTTCCTCTCCCCGCTTCCCTTTCTCCCCATCTCTTTCCCCTTTCCCTTTCTCAATTTCCTTTCCTTTCCCCTCTCCTTTCACCTTTTCCTTTTTCTTCTCTCCTTTCCCCTTACACCCTCCTCCCTTTCCTTTCCTTCCTTTTTTTTCTCTCTCTTTCTTCTCTTTATTTATTTATTTTTTTTGAGACAGAGTCTCGCTCTGTTGCCCAAGCTGGAATGCAGTGGCACAATCTCGGCTCACTGCAACCTGCACCTCCTGGGTTCAAGCAATTCTCATGCCTCAGCCTCCCAAGTAGCTGGGATTACAGGCGTGCACCACTACACCCGGCTAATTTTCACATTTTTAGTAGAGATGGGGTTTCACCATGTTGGCAAGGCTGGTCTCAAAATCCTGACCTCGGGTGCTCCCGCCTGTCATCCCAGCATTTTGGGAGGAGGCCAAGGTGGATTGCTTGAGCCCAGGAGCTCAAGACCAGCCTGGACAACACAGCAATACCTCATTTCTACGAAAATAAAAAATAAAAATAATTTTTAAAAAAGAGGCCGGATACAATGGCTCATGCCTGTAATCCCAGCACTTTAGGAGGCTGAAGTGGGCAAATAACAAGGTCAAGAGTTCAAGACCAGCCTGACCAATATGGTAAAACCCTGTCTCTACTGTAAATACAAAAATTAGCCAGGCATGGTAGCACCCACCTGTAATCCCAGCTACTCAGGAGGCTGAGGCAGGAGAATTGCTTGAATCTGGGAGGCAGAGGTTGCAGTGAGTCAAGATCAAGCCACTGCGCTCCAGCCTGGGCAGCAGAGTGAGACTCCATCTCAAAAAAAAAAAAAAAAATGGGGAGGCCGAGGCAGGTGGATCACAAGGTCAAGAGATCAAGACCATCCTGGTCAACATGGTGAAACCCCATCTCTGCTAAAAACACAAAAAATTAGCTGGGCATGGTGGCGCGTGCCTGTAATCGCAGCTACTCAGGAAGCTGAGGCAGGAGAATTGCCTGAACCCAGGAGGTGGAGGCTGAGGTGAGCCGAGATCTCGCCATTGCACTCCAGCCTAGGTAACAGGAGTGAAACTCTGTCTCAAAGAAAAAAAAAAAAAATGGCTGGGCGTGGTAGCTCATGCCTGTAATCCCAGCACTTTGGGAGGCTGAGGTGGGTGGATCACCTGAGGTCAGGAGTTTGAAACCAGCCTGACCAATAAGGTGAAACCCCATCTCTATTAAAAATACAAAAATTAGCCAGGTGTGGTGGCAAGTGCCTGTAGTCCTAGTACTCTGGACGCTGAGACAGGAGAATTGTTTGAACCTGTGAGGTGGAGGCTGCAGTGATCCAAGATTGTGCCACTGCACTCCAACCTGGGCAATAGAGTAAGACTCCGTCTCAAAAAAGACACTGGGTCTCACTATGTTGCCCAGGTGGGTCTTGAATTCCTGGCCTCATACATACTTAGTTATACAACTAAGTATGAGTATAAAACTAATTTTTGGGCCGGGTGCGGTGGCTCAAGCCTGTAATTCCAGCACTTGGGAGGCTGAGGCAGCCTGATCACGAGGTCAAGATATCGAGACCATCCTAGCCAACATGGTGAAACTCCGTCTCTACTAAAAATAAAAAAATTTAAAAATTAGCTGGGCGTGGTGGTGTGCGCCTATAGTTCCAGCTACCCAGGAGGCTGAGGCAGGAGAATTGCTTGAACCTGGGAGGCGGACGTTGCAGTGAGCCGAGATCGCGCCACTGTACTCCACCCTGGCGCCTGGTGACAGAGCGAGACTCTGTCTCAATATATATAAAACTAACTTTTGGTCATAGTTGTAGGCTGACGTATTGGATGGGAATTCTTGGAAGATATTTTTTAAAAGCTGACATAATTGGGAGATGAAATAAGTCTCTTTTGCCCATTCCTTTCTTCCTGATTCAAATATGATGGCTGTACTTCCGGCAGTCATCTTGGATCATGAGGCTTTGCCTTACAGCTTTACTAGTTATATATCTTCTCCCTTTTTTTTTTTTTTTAGATGGAATCTTGCTGTGTCACCCAGTGCAGTGGCATGATCTCGGCTCACTGCAGCCTCCACTTCCCAAGTTCAAGCAATTCTTCTGCCTCACCCTCCTGAGTAACTGGGACTACAGGCACGCCCTACCATGCCCGGCCTTTTTATATTTTTAGTAGAGATGGGTTTTACCATATTGGCCAGGCTGGTCTTGAACTCCTGAACTTGTGTTCTGCCTACTTTGGCCTCCCAAAGTGCTGGGATTACAGATGTGAGCCACCACCCCCAGCCATATCTTCTTCCTCTTAAAGGGAGGGAGGCTAAGGCTGACACTAGCAACAAAATACATTGCAGAAGCAAAGCTCAAGTCCCTGATGATTGTGACGCCTCCATACCTGGACTGCCTATATCTCAGCTTCTCTTACGTAAGAGATAAATTAATGTTTCCTCTTTAAGCCAGTAAGTTGGGTGTTCTATCATATGCAACCAAGCCTAATTCTGATTTACCATCTACCTTTCATTTTGATTTCAAGAAATATCTCACTTTGCTCTTAGTGCTACTATGAGAAAAATATTGCAAGTTTTATGACAAATGATAGTTGGTACCTGGCCTCTGAGTCAAAGAGCAACAAAGTAGGACAGGAATGGTAAAGAATGACCACACCCTTATCTAATGGGTGTGGTCATACTATGAACCAGCTTAGTATTCCCACAAAGAAATGTCTTCTTTTTTAAAATTTTAATGGAGACGAGGTCTCACTATGTTGCCCAGGCTAGTCTCGAACTACTTCTGGACTCAAGTATTTCACCTGCCTCGGCCTCCTAGCCTGTCTGTGCTGAGATTACAGGTGTGAGTTACTGCCCGCCCCTGCCACCAGCCAATGTCTCCATTTTTCTGTTTTGTTTTGTTTTGAGATGGAGTTTTGCTCTTGTTGCCCAGGCTGGTGCAATGATGCGATCTTGGCTCACCACACCCTCTACCTCCCAGGTTCAAGCGATTCTCTTGCCTCAGCCTCCCGAGTAGCTGGGATTACAGGCATGCGCCACCACGCCTGGTTAATTTTGTATTTTTAGTAGAAATGGGGTTTTTCCATGTTGGTCAGGCTGGTCTCAAACTCCCAACCTCAGGTGATCTGCCTGCCTCGGCCTCCCAAAGTATTGGGATTACAGCCGTGAGCCACTGTGCCTGGCCAATGTTTCCATTTTTTTAGGGCACTCAAATAAGTAAAAATTGGTCAGGTATGGTGGCTCATGCCTGTAATCCCAGCACTTTGGAAGGCTGAGGCAGGCGGATTACAAGGTCAGGAGTTGAGATCACCCTGGCCAAAATGGTAAAACCTGTCTCTACTAAAATATAAAAAATTAGCCAGGGACGGTGGGCACACACCTGTAGTCCCAGCTACTCAGGAGGCTGAGGCAGGGGAATCACTTGAACCCAGGAGGCAAAGGTTGCAGTAAGCCAAGATCATGCCACTGCATTCCAGCCTGGCAACAAAAAAAGAACCCATCTCAAAAAAAAAAAAGGCCAGGCACGGTGGCTCATGCCTGTAATCCCAGTACTCTGGGAGGCTGAGGCAAGCAGATCACCTGAGATCGGGAGTTCAAGACCAGCCTGACCAACATGGTAAAACCTTGTCTTTATTTGGAAAAAAAAAAAAAAAAGAAGAAGAAGTAAAAATTGGATTCTCTGCTCTCTAGAGGAATTTGCAGAATGATGTGAACCGAGAAAAAGGAAGATGGGTTCCAGTTCTGGCTCTACCTCCAACTCCTGTAGGATTTATTTAATCTCCACAGATCTCAGTTTCTCCCTCCATAAAATATGAAGGCTAGACTAAGCAAACCCTAATTTCCCTTCCTATACAAATTCTGTTATCCTATCTTCTTGGGATCAAGAGTCAGTCACTTGAGTGAGGAGCTGGGATGAAGGTGAGGTGCTGATAGTTCAGCAGGCCTTAGAAGAACAACTCTCAATTATTTCTTCTTTGCCCTTCCTCCTCCTCCAAGTAACCCTACCCTCACTCATCTCCCTTCTAATGGATTCCCACAGCATTCAGTCAGATCAGAATTGTCCAACACACAGGCTGGGCTCTCTTGCACTGGATTAATTAAGCCCATGACCCCATTTTTTCTCCTCTCCCTCTGGACTTCCAGAAGGCTATGACCAAATGTGATTCCTCTCTGAATCAACCATTGCCTATCATAAGGCTGGATGCTAACTTAAACCATGCAAGCTGGCTGACAACAGCTAGAAAAGAAGGGTCTAGGCTCAACAGAATGGCTTGGGCACAGGGCAAGAGAAGCTTGACTGAGCTCCAGTGGTTATTGAGCTTGACAGCCCCTTGTGGTTATTCCTTGGGGTCGAAAGGGAAAAATACAATCTATTTTAAGGCAGGATATTGGCCAGTGGATGGCTGAAGTGAGTAATTAACAGTGCACAAGGCCTGGGCTGGGCTACTCTACTGAGACAAGTAAGACATAGGCTTATTCCCAAGGAATCCATCATCTTTAAGAGGAAGAAGATATATAACTAGTAAAGCTCTAAGGCAAGGCTAATGTTGCAAGGGCGATGCCCATGCTGTGGGAGCATAGGAGACAGGCATCATTTCTGAACTGGCCAGGAGAGGTAATAAGGAAAGACATCCAGGGGATGGCACACTTGAGCTGAGGCTTGAAAATCAAAAGGAATTAAACAGCCAGGATGAGGGAATTCCAGAGAAAATTTAACAAAACCAAAGGCAACAGAGAGTAGCAGAGTAAGGCTGAAGCACAGAAAGCCTGGAAGAGTGACATATAAAGCTTATATTTTATATATAATATAAAATATTAAGGATATTATATATATATATATACACACATATATATATATATTTTTTTTTTAATGAGATGGAGTTTTGCTCTCTTTGGCCAGGCTGGAATGCAATGGCAGGATCTCAGCTCACTGCAACCTCTGCCTCCCGGATTCAAGCAATTCTCCTGCTCAGCCTCACAAGTAGCTGGGATTACAGGCAACTGCCACCACGGCCATCTTATTTTTTGTATTTTTAGTATAGACGGGGTTTCACCATATTGGTCAGGCTGGTCTCAAACTCCTGACCTCAGGTGATCCACCTGCCTCAGCCTCCCAAAGTTCTGTGATTAAGACAGGAGCCAGCAGGTCTGGCACATAAAGCATATAAATGGTGGCTTCGGGCAGATCTTATCATTTTAGCTGGTAGGCTTAATCTTAGAGGAAAAGTAAACAGATGAAGAGAGGTGAAGAGAGGTGAGTGTCATGTGATCAACTGATCAGACGGATCAGAGTGTCATGTGATCTGCCTTCAGACAACTTGCTCAGCAATCTTTCTTGACCAACTGACAGAGAAAGAAAGGAATTAATGGCAAGAAGAAAAAATACACAAGCTCAGCAAGTAAGTACTACTCTCCACTCTGACTTTGGGACCAGAGAACCTACCTTTTTTTTTTTTTTTGGTGAGACAGGATTTCACTCTGTCACCAAGGCTGGAATGCAGTGGCACAATCTTGGCTCACTGTAACCTCCACTTCCCAGGTTCAAACAATTCTCCTGCCTCAGCCTCCTGAGTAGCTTATATTACAGGAGTGTGCCACTACACCTGGCTAATTTTTATATTTCACCATGTTGACCAGGCAGGTCTGAAACTCCTGACATCAGGTGATCCCCCTGCCTCAGCCTCCCAAAGTGCTGGGATTACAGGCATGAGCCATCACACCCAGCCAAACATACCGTATTCAATGTACCTGGGACTAGGTGGGGTGGGAAGCTCTCTCTGCCCGAAACACCAGTACCCTAAAAAAAAAATTACATTAAAAAAAAAACAAAAAACACCAACACCCTGACTTACGGCAACAGCCAGTCTGAAGCAACGCTAGCGTCTTTCCCCCAGGAGCTGCACATAGGTCAAGCACGATGTCCCCGGGCTGCAGGCCAAGGGCCAGGACAGGCAGCAAGGAGGCAGCATCCATCAGGTAGTAGTCCATGACACCCAGGTTGCTAGGTCTGGAAAAGAGGAGACCACTTCATTGTCAAATTCCAGGTCAGGACAATCACTAGGAGTCAAGGCTACCAAGTCCATGCCTTCTGGGGCCTGAACTCCAAACAGCAAAAACTCATTTCTCAGACCCATACTTATTCACTTATTCATCTATACACGAGCCAGAATGAGCCTTCATTTATTTACTTTGAGATGGAGTTTCGTTGCCCAGGTTGGAGTGCAGTAGCTCGATCTCGGCTCACTGCAACACAACCTCTGCCTCCCGGGTTCAAGCGATTATCCTGTCTTAGCCTCCTGAGTAGCTGAAATTACAGGCGCCTGCCACCACACCTGGCTAATTTTTTGTATTTTTAGTAGAGACAGGGTTTCACTATGTTGACCAGGCTGGTATGGAACCCCTGACCTCAGGTGATCCACTCACCTCAGCCTCCCAAAGTGCTGGGATTATAGGCGTGCCCAGTCCAGAATGATCCTTTAAAAACACAGATCAGGCCAGGCACAGTGACTCATGCCTGTAATCCCAGCACTTTGGGAGGCTGAGGCAGGCAATCATCTGAGGTCTGGAGTTCCAGACCAGCCTGGTCAACATAGTGAAACCTCTTCTCTACTAAAAATACAAAATTAGCCAGGCATGGTGATACGTGCCTGTATAATTTCAGCTACTCGGGAGGCTATGGCAGGAAAATCACTTGAACCCAGGAGGCAGAGGTTGCAGTGAACTGAGATCATGCCATTACACCCCAGCCTGGGCAAAAAAGACCAGAACTCCATCTAAAAAAAAAAAAAATTCACTCCAATATAGACACACTAGCCACCTTGCTGTTCCTTAATTAAGCCACACATGCTCCTGTCTCAGGCTTTTGCAGTTGCTACACCTTCTACCTGTAACACTCCTCCCTCAAATATCCCTGATTTGATTCCTCACTTTTTTCAGGTCTCTCCTCAAAAGTTACATCAGAAAGACTGGCATTCCTTGACTACTCACTACTCTATCTAAAGTAACAGCCACCAAAGCTGGGTATGATGATATACACCTGTAATCCCAGCTACTTGGGAGTCTGATGAAGGAGGATCACTTTGAAGCCCAGGAGTTCAAATCCACTCTGGGCAAGATAGTGAGATCCCATCTCAAAAATAAGTGTTCTAAAATCACAGACCCTAATTGTCATCACCTTCTACCTCCCTACCTTGCATTATTTTCCTTTAAAGCACTTATTATTCACTTTATATTGAAGAAGGAAATTAAATAATAGCAATAATAGTAAAAACCTTATAATTTGTATTTGCTATATAATAAGTAAATTTTGCTGTGTTGTGTGCTGTTTGATAAAAAAACCTAACCCCCAGCTCTGCTTAAAATTAAGTCCCTGTAAAACCTACTTTATCTATTCTCCCCACATTCTCAGCAGAGTTCCCAGGCATCTCAAGACTCCTGTTTTTCTTGCTGACCAACTGCAAAGTCACAGGGCAAGATAACACCCAAAGAATGTTCAATGCCACTTCTCAAAATGTTGTTTTTCAAATGTAACGTACATCACAAGACATGTTACAAATTAATTGTTCTTTGTTCTGGCTTCTGTAAACTTGTTAGCTGCTACATTATCCTGGATGAATATAAGTATCCCATTTTCTTTCTCCTTTGCTCAGTCTTGGGTACTAATCCGGTGATCACCTTAATCTGTTAAGATGTTAAACTGTTTTACCCATTGGTCTCTCCAGTCTCCTGAATATTCTACAACAATAGGTACAGAGGTGTGTGTGCATGTGTGTAGGCACGTATGCATTTTTCCCTATTTCCCCCCATTAGAATGTTAGCTCCATAAGTACAGAGATTTCATCTGCTTTGTTCATTATACTATCCCCAGCACCTGGAACAGGACCTGGCACATAGTAGGAAGTTAGTTTTCTTGGGTTACATATTGAGATACAAAGTGCTTCATGGATTCAGAGAGAAGTGACATCAACTGTGCTTGTTTGAGTTACTTGAGTTGGGCCTGATAAACGAATAGAAAGCCTTCATTAGGTAATAATGGAAGAGAAGCAGTCCAAATGAAAGAAAAAAGAATGAGCACAGGCACAGAAGCATACAAACTCATAGCTTCTTTCAGAAATAGTGAGAAATCTGACATGACAGAAACACAAGATACATGCGATTGAGGTTGGAAAACAGATTGAGGCCAGATTGTGAAAGGTCTTAAACTCTATGCTAAGGATTGTGAACTACAACCTATAAGCAGTTACCAAAACGTTTTAAGGAAAACGACATGATCAAATAGACCCAAGTTTTAGAAAGCTAGGTGGGCTAGAGGGAACACATTTAGAGACAGAGATATCAGAGGTAGCAACAGTGTGAACAGAGCGGGAGGGATGATCAGCAGGCTCATGTCACAGGACTCCCTACTCCCAGGCCAGTTGTCACAAGAGCAATTGGTGGTGAGCAGTCATGCCCCTGCCTGAGAGGTAGCTCAGCAAGGACAGGCTTGGGGACAGACTCAAGGTGACAAAAAACCCTCACAGGATAGGTCTGGGAGACAAGGCATAAGACAAGGCACAGCACCACTGAGGGTCAGCTACAAGAGCTACAATTCCCAGTCCTAAGACTCTAACACCTCCAGCATTCACAAATAGGCTCATGCTTGATAGGATATTTTCAAAGACAAATCATGCTTGGGGTATTGGTGAAACCGTGTACCTCAGCCCTCACAAAAGACAAAAACAAAACGACTGAGAAATCTAAGAAAAGCACAAACAGTTACCACATCAGCACTGGCCCATAAAACCCATCCCCATCAAGTCCCTTCCTTTTGGAAGCATCACTTTGTAACCTTTTTTTGGTTCTGTTTTGAAAATCTGCTAAAAGCTATAATCCCTCTTTCTGAGAAAAAAAAAAAACAAACTATAATTTTGCATTCAATTTCTGTACTCCCTGAATAGATCATTGAACTCTTGGGATCCCCTTGATTTCATGGGGAACCCATCAGAATCAGAAGGGGGAAAAAAAAAGCAAACTTATAGGGGTTTTGTGCTGTGGCCTGTTCCCTCACCACTCTCAGGAGTACCTCAATCAACATGGTCCTTACCCCATGGTTCTACCTAATGTCAATGCTTCCAAATTGGTCTCTAACTCTGGCCCAATCAATCACCCACTACGCAGTGACTAAAATTATCTTCCTGAGCATAACTTTAATGAGAATCAGTACTGAAGGCTGGGCAGAGTGGCTCAACGTCTGTAATCCCAGCACTTTGGGAGCCTGAGGCAGGCAGATAGCTTGAGTCCAGGAGTGTGAGATGAGCCAGGGTAACATGGCAAAACCCCTTCTCTACAAAAAATACAAAGAGAACCAACACTGGTGGTACTACTGATAAGTGCTATATTGCAGGCACTGTGCTAGGTGTTTAATACATGTAATTTTATTTAGTCCTTGCTACAACGCTATGAGGCAGGTGAACCTGAATTCTAGAGCCAGACTAACTAAACCTCGAATCCAGCACAGTTGCTCATTAGTTGTGTGACTTTAAGCAAATTTCTCAAATTCTTTGTGCCTCAGTTTCTTTTTTTTGTTTGTTTTTTTTGTGTGTGTGTGCCTCAGTTTCTTCATCTGCAAGAGTACCTCCAGATAGGGTTACTGTGAGGATTGAAGGAATTACTATGTTAAGTGCTTGGAATAGTGGCTGGCACATAATGAGCTATAGAGTTAGCTATTACTGCTTTCCAGATAAAGAAATCAAGGCTCAGTTATCCAATGCCATATGTGTAATAAGTGGTGAAGCAGGGTCCAAATCCAGGTTTGCCTGACTCAAAAGCCCAGGCTTATAACCACTGTACATCACTGCCCTTCAGCTGCCCAACTGATCTTAGACATTCACAGCAATATGTACTAAAGGGCACAAGGCCCAAAGCCATGCAGCCCTGGCAATCCCAGTCATCTGCAAGCCACCCATGGCCACCAGAAAAATCCTCTTCCCCAAATCTGCAAGCTCCTAGCATTCAGGATTCCCACATATGGCACCTCCATATACTTTTCCAGCCTCCTCCCTCTCTCTCCCCCCCCCTTCTCTCAGGCTCTTTCCCTACCCCCTCCAGCCTTATCTCTCAATCCTCATAAGCACACAGTATTCCTCAAAGCCAGAAGCTAGTACTATTGCAAGTCTCCTAATTTATATGCCCATTTCCAGCCTTGACACCCTCCAATCTGTATTCCATGCAGTGCCCAGAATCATAATTTAAAAATTCAAATTTAGGCTGGGTGCAGTGGCTCACACCTGTTATCCCAGCACTTTGGGAGGCCAAGGTGGGCAGATCACTTGAGGTCAGGAGTTTGAGACCAGCCTGGCCAACATGGTGAAACCCTGTCTCTACTAAAAATACAAAAATTCAGCCAGGCACAGTGGTTCACACCTGTAATCCCAGCAATTTGGGAGGTCAAGGTAAGTGGATCATCTGAGGTCAGGAGTTCAAGATCAGCCTGGCCAACATAGTGAAAACCCATCTCTACTAAAAATATAAAAATTAGTTGGGCATGGTGGTAAACACCTGTAATCCCAGCTACTCGGGAGGCTGAGGCAGAAGAATCACCTGAACCCAGGAGGTGGAGGTTGCAATGAGCCAAGATCGCACCATTGCACTCCAGCCTAGGCAGCAGGGCGAGACTCCATCTCAAAAAAAAAAAAATTAGCCAGGCATGGTGGTGGGTGCCTGCAGTCCCAGCTACTCTGGAGGCTGAGGCAGGAGAATCACTTGAACCCAGGGAGTGGAGGTTGCAGTGAGCCGAGATTGCACCATTGCACTCTAGCCTAGGGAACAGGGCAAGACTCCATCTCAAAAAAAAAAAAAAAAAACAAACAAAAAACTAGCCAGGCATGGTGGTGAGCACCTGCAGTCCCAGCTACTCTGAAGGCTGAGGTGGGAGAATCACTTGAACCCAGGAGGCAGAGTTTGCAGTGAGCCAAGATCACCCCCCTGCACTTCAGCCTGGCTGACAGAGCAAAACTCTATCTCAAAAAAAAAAAAAAAAAAATCAAATGTAAGCCATGCTATTCCCTAGCTTAAAATGTTTTATAGGTTCCTCTTCCTCTTAAAGATTAAGTATCCAAAATTCCACAGGGCCTATAAGACCTTCATAATCAGGCTCCTACCTGCTTCTATAGCCTCATGCTTGGCCTCTCAAGCATGATCCCTGATCCCCACCTCCAAGCCACCAGCTTTAATTCCTACTTTTCACATCTTAACTTAAATTTCACTTCCTCAGAAAAGACAGGGTTAGATTTCCTAATTAGAAGACCTTAGGCCAGGTGTGGTGGCTCACACCTATAATCCCAGCACTTTGGGAGGATGAGGCAGGTGGATCATGAGGTCAGGAGTTTGAGACTAGCCTAGCCAACACAGTGAAAACATGTCTCTTCTAAAAACACAAAAAATTAGCCGTCTCTTCTAAAAAACTTCGTCTTTTTTAAAAATACAAACAATTACAGGCGGGCACCTGTACTCCCAGCTACTAGGGAGGCCAAGGCAGGAGAATCAGTTGAACCCGGGAGGCGGAGGTTACAGTGAGCCGAGATCACGCCATTGTACTCCAGCCTGGGTGACAGAGCAAGACTCCATCTCATAAAAAAAAAAAAAAAAAGACTAGCATCTTGTATTTTTCCTCTATGGCACTTATCACCATTATAGTTTTGATGGAGTTTTTTTGGTTTTGTCTGTTTTTTTTTTGGAGACAGGATCTCACTGTGTCACCCAGGCTGGAGTGGAGTGGCACAATATTGGCTCAGTATGGCCTCAACCTCCCAGGTTCAAGCAATCCTCCTGCCTCAGCCTCCTGCATAGCTGGGACTATAGGCATCCACCAACACACTCAGCTAATTTTTGTATTTTTCTATAGAGACAGGGTCTCAATATGTTTCCCAGGCTGGTCTTGAACTCCTGAGCTCAATTATCTTCCTGCCTCGGCCTTTCACAGAGCATGGATTATAGGCATGAGTTGCCATGCCCAGTCGACCATTACAGTGTTTTATTTTTTTTGAGATGGAGTCTTGCTCTGTCACCCAGGCTAGAGAGCAGTGGCACGATCTCAGTTTCCTCCTCCTGGGTTCAAGCAATTTTCCTGCCTCAGTTTCCTGAGTAGCTGGGACTACAGGTGTGAGCCACCATGCCTGGCTAATTTTTGTATTTTTAGTAGAGATGGGGTTTCACCATGTTGCCCAGACTGGTTTTGAACTCTTCACCTCAAGTGATCTGCCCATCTCAGCCTCGAAACATGCTGGGTTTATGGGTGTGAGCCACCGTGCCCAGCCAATTATAGTTTTTTAATAGCTGTTTTCCTCACTAAACTGGAAGCTCTATGAGGGCTTATGCTTCCAGGCACTTAAATGCTGAGCATTTGGTAGACAATATTTTTAAATACATCAATCAGTCAGGCTGGGCACGGTGGCTCACACCTGTAATTCCAGCACTTTGGGAGGCCGAGGTGGGCGGATCACAAGTTCAGGAGTTTGAGACCAGCCTGACCAACATGGTGAAACCCCGTTTCTACTAAAAATACAAAAATTAGCCAGGTGTGGTGGCACACTCCTGTAATCCCAGCTACTTGAGAGGCTGAGGAAGGAGAATCGCTTAAACTCAGGAGGCGGAGATTGTGGTGAACTGAGATTGCGCCACTGCACTCCAGCATGGGCAACAGAGCAAGACTGCATCTCAAAAAAAAAAAAAGGCCAGGCGTTGTGGCTTACACCTATAATCCCAGCACTTTGGGAGGCTGAGGCAGGCAGATCATGAGGTCAGGAGTTTGAGACCAGCCTGGCCAGCATGGTGAAACCCCATCTCTACTAAAGATACAAAAAATTAGCCAGGCGTGGTGGCGTGTGCCTGTAATCCCAGCTACTCAGGAGGCTGAGGCAGGAGAATCGCTTGAACTCAGGAGGCAGAGGTTGCAGTGAGTCGAGATCACACCATTGCACTTCAGCCTGGGTGACAGGGTGAGACTATGGCTCAAAAAAAAAAATCAATCAGTCTTTCTAAAATCAATTCCCATACCCTACAACTAACATTGAGTGCTCCTTAATTGTTAGAGCACAATTCAGCATTTGATTCTGGAGTCCATTCTCACTCAACTTCACATACATGAGCATTGGATCAAGAAACTGGAAGTTCTCCTTTCTTTTTCCCAGTCTAGTACCAGCTTTGTGCCCCTAGGCCAGCCCTATTTCCTAGGAAAGTCCCACTACCTCTTTGCTACCATGAAGTTACTTTTCCTATTCACTTTGATGGGTGGCTGTGAGGGCAAAATGAGAAGATGCTGTGAGTGACACATATTTCAACTTGAGAGCACCTAGTGAGTGCTCATGTAAAAGGTGGCTGTTTTCTACCAGAGACATAGAGCAGAGTAGGTTCCGGGTCTAAATACTATCCTCTTACCATCTGAGGGACCTAAAGCAAGGAAGAATCTTAACTTCTCTGTACTTCAATTTCCCAAAATGTAAAAGAGGAACAATAATATTACCTACTTCATAAGGATGTTGACAGAACAAAAAGGAATAACATATGTATGGCACCTCAAAAAATGCCTAGCCTGTATAAACATGCTGTAAGTATTAGCAATATTATGGTCTTTATTGCAGAGGGTACATGCTGGGTCTCGTCATAGCCACATCCAGCCTGCGCTCAGGCTGCTCCAGTCATGGCTCCAGATCCTACCTGGCAGGAGGGAAGCGACTGACATCCCCTTTGGCAAAAGTGAAGCATCGAAGGTTTGGACTGCAGGCCCAAGAAGGAGGGGATGGGGCTGCAGATTGGCTACCCTCAGACTGCAGTTCCCAGTGGGAGATGGCTTCATTTACAAAGTCCTTGGCATTCAGCTGCTCTAGCTTAGCACTCACATGATCCCAGGCAGCAAAGTTATTGACCAGTGCACCATACTTCTGCTCTGAGAGGAGACTGACACGGATTGATGGCCAAAGGTCTCCAAACTGCACACTGTAAGTCATGTCAAAATTCTGCAGAGCCAGTCGAACAGCAGGGAATTTGGGCTCTGTGGCAGCCTAAAAGAGAAAGGACAGGCTTATTGGTTTTCCCAGTCTTGCCTCTACTCCCTACTACCTGACCCCACCTCAGAGCCAAGGGGCAATCTTGGATCCAGCTAGTGCCTACTCCTGCTTTTGCATCCTCTCTGCCTGCCAGAGAAGTGTGAGAGAGAAAACTAATGGAGGGCAGGTCTTCCCATCCCAGGGTAGTTAGATAAAGATGTAACTCTCACAGTACTGTGCAGGGGTCATCAAGAAGGGGGACTTCGGAGTAAGAGGAACTTGGGAGAATGGTAGCTCAGGAGAGGACTCTTCAGGAGAGCCTGCAGAAGGTTAGGAGAAACTATGGAGGCTCTGGGAAACTTTGAGCTTAAAAGCAAAAGGCCCTTTTCCTCTAAACAGTCCTTCTATGTTCCAAAGCACTTTCACGTCTACTAGATTATGTGAGCACTATAACTGATAGCTCAGTAGGATACAAAAAAATTTAACAACCTTTCAATTTGATGGAGAGATGTGAGTAACTTACCCACCGTTATGCAGTGACTAGCACCACAATGCTCAGAATCAGAGGGTTGAGGGTCACGTTGGGAGAGTTCCCAGACCCCAGAAAGGTAGCATAAGGTGGGCCCACAGAATCTTGAGGTGTGAACTAACACAGGGACTTGTAGGATGACTGCTTTGAGGGTAGCAGAGAAGGACAAGAGGATAAGAACAAGGAGGTAGAGTAAAAGAGAAAAGAAGACTTCAGATGGGGAGTCCACAAGTTGGTCCTGGTTGCTGCAGCTGGGATGCTTGCTATTGCTGGCAATCTTGTTACTATCTATGCCTTGCTCTGGCCTAGATTTCTGGTCTGGTCAGAACTTTTACTCTGGCCCTCATTTCTTATTATGGTGAGGACTCTTGTTCTATGACTTTTGCCCCTGCTGGGACTTTTGCTCTGGTTCCTGCTATGTTGGGGACTCTTGCTCTGGCCTTGACCTTTGCCACGTTGGGTACTCTTGCTCCGGTTCCGACTTTTGCCATGGTGGAGACTCTTGCTCTTGCCCTGACCTCTGCCACGTTGGGTACTCTTGCTCCGGTTCTGACTTTTGCCATGGTGGAGACTCTTGCTCTTGCCCTGACCTCTGCTAATTTGGGGACTCTCACCCTGGCGCTCATTTATGCTAAGGTGGGGACTCTCACTCTGGCCCAGACTTGTGTTTTGTTGAGGACTACTGCTCCCGCTCCGGCTTCTGCTAGGATAGGGACTCCTTTTCCTGCTCGGACTTCTGCTCAAATGATGCTCTTGCTCCGGCTCTGATTTGTGCCATGATGGGGACTCTTGCTTTGGCTCTGAATTTGGCTTTGGTAGGACTTCCTGCTCTGGCTGTCACTACTCTGGCATTTGCTAATAACAGTCGAACTACAGCTGGGATTAGTGCTACAGCTGGAATCCTTGGATGAAAGCAAAGGGCAGCTGTAGGGGATCTGCAGGGGCTCTTTGCAAGGGCCTTGAGAGGCCACACGGTAGATATGGAGGCCACAAGGGACAACGTCAGGGTAGGCCCGGACTCGGGGGACAATGGATAAACTTTGAGGATCAAAGGGTGTTCTCAAAGGGATAAAAGAATAGATGTGAGTAGAACAAGGAGGCACCACAGGCTGGCAATGAGGTTGGGGTGGGCCCCTGGGAGTGCTATAGGTGTCACACAGGGGCACAATGGGAGGGGGGCCTGTCGAGTGATTGAGGGAGCCAGACAGTGGGCAGGAATGGGCAGCGGAGGGAACCACAGAGTATATATGGGTTTTGCAGGGGGGCCCGTGGGGGCTGCTCTGAGCATAACTATTGAGCGAGACAGGATCACAAGGAAGGCAGAAGGGAAGAGAACTGGGGCTAACAGTTTTGAGGGTTCTAGGGACCACAGTTGGTAAGGCAGTCCCTGGGGGAAGTTCTTTGGGGCTGGAATTTGAAGGAGTTGTGATGGATGGCTCGATACAAGAAGGACCAGAGAGGAGGGAGGGAGTTGGGGGAGAGGTGCTGGCCTTAGCAGGCTTGGGCTGGCCAGAAGGGGTGTGCTGGGGAGTGGTGACTAGGGAGTGACACCTGTGGGGAGTATGTGACTGTCTTAACTCTGAGAATTTAGGGGACTTCACTTGGGGGGCAACTGGGGTGGGAAGAGGGGGTTCATTGTAGCTTCTGTGGTGGAGTGGCTGGGGTAGAGATATAGACTGGTTGCCCGGGGGTAAAGAGAAGGAGGAAAGGCCAGAATGAGGACAGTGGGGAAGAGATGGTTCCTGGGAACAGTGGGGACCAGAAATTGTGGTGTCCGGGGTGAAGAAGAGGTAAGAGTTCCCATCTGCCTCCCAGGAGAGAAGGGACTCAAAGCAAGCCTTCCTGGGAGCCTGGAACTGGGGTGAGCAAGGAGAATCAGTACTCCCAGAGCGTAGGCGAGTGACACAGCAAGGACTCCCAAGGGTAGGCAGGTAGGCCTCTGAGGAAAGATGGGAATAATGATAAGAGCCCTCTGGAGGTGAGTTGGGAGAGCCAGACATGCCTGCCTGAGAAGAGAGTGGGGAGTCACAATAATTTTTCTCAAGGGGCAGGTCAAGCTGTGGTTTGGGTTCACAAGAGTCTGGAGGCTTATGGCTGCCACGGTAAAATTTGCCAGTAGGTGGGGAAGATGCTGGGGAAAGAAGGGGGTCATTATAACTTCTCCCTGAGGACCAGTGAGAGGGCAGAGAGATCATCAGCCCAGTTTCCAAAACTCTGTGAGAAAGGGTTGGGGAGGCCACAGGACTAGTTTCCACTGGTCGGCGAGCAAGGGGAGGTGAAATCTTGAGGCAAGTTCCTGGGGTCGGGGTCCTATAAGTAGGAGGAGGTGAAATCACGAGTCCAGTTTCCAAGGGTACATGAGTGAGCTGAGGGGAGGTCAATGGGCTCCTTCCCGGGGACCGCTGAGCAAGGGGTGAGGAGATTGCGGGGCCGATTCCAAAAGCCGAAGGGCATCCGCTATAGTAACAGAGGTTAGTGTTCTGGTCAAAGTGAGTGCCTTGAAGACAGGGACGCTGCATTCTCGAGGGACTGATCCAGGTGTGATAAGGGGTCGGCTGACAGACAGGGGGTGACCCCGTTATGCTGAACTGCTCAAAATAGGAACTGGAAGGTGGGGACCCCGAGTGGCAGGGCTCGCGGCAGTAGGTCCTTTCCAGGAGTGGGGAAGAGGACTCAAAATAACATCTCCCTGAATGCGAGGGAGGTTGTGGCTGTGGAAGACGAGATCGTGGAGGCGGAGAGGGAATCAGCTGGGGTGGGCAGGGGGGCGTGTCAGTCTTAGAAGAAATTCCAGGGCTACTAGGGTGGCAAGAAAAAGGTTCTCTGGAGAAGCAGGGAGATTCCAGAGGATGAGAGGATTCGTTGCACCTTTTGCCTGCGTTTGGGGAAAGGCCGGCAGTATGGAAGAAATTCCAGGGCTACTAGGGTGGCAAGAAAAAGGTTCTCTGGAGAAGCAGGGAGATTCCAGAGGATGAGAGGATTCGTTGCACCTTTTGCCTGCGTTTGGGGAAAGGCCGGCAGTATGGACAGGGTGGTCGCTGTAACCTTTCCCGGTCGCCAGAGGCAGCTCGAGGTTGAGGAAGGGGCTGAATCCTTTCCTGCAAGGCGGCGGAGACCCAGAAGGGAAGGGGAGGTCGCTATGGTATTTTCCGAGGGATGAGGGCGACCCAGCTGGAAGATCAATGAGGAAAGGAGGAGAAGTCATGTGCAGGAAGAATGAACGGGCAAGAGAAAGGGTGGGGGAGAGGGAAGGGGGAGAGGAAGGGAGGGAAGTAAAAGGGGGTGGTGGGGGACAGAAAGGTAGGTGGACACAGCTGGGGAACAAGAGGCGGTGACATCACTAAAAGAATGAAGGCGGAGGTGATGACGCCACTAGAGGGGCAGAGACAGGAGGCTGCAGACGTAACAAGCGGAAGAGACGAACGTTCGGGACAAAAAAGGGGTACGGACAGAGGCTGTGACGGAACAGACGTGAGAGGGAGGTGCCAGGGACGCTCCGTAAAGTAGTTGGGAAAGAGGCCTAGGCGTTCCAGAAGGCCGGGAAATGAAAGGACTGGACAAGTCTCCGCCTCACTGTTCCCTCCTGCGCCCCCAACCGGACCTTACCCATTTCTTTTTATGTCTATGTCGCCGCGGGACCGTCGCGAAGTCCACACGCTTCAGCAGCTCCCGGACGCCCCTCAGGGTCAGCGCAGCCATGTTGGCGTGCGCCGCTGGGTAATTCCGACCGGAACCGCAGCGGGAGACTAGCGTGTTCCGGGGAGGTGGGGAGCGCCGCCAGGCGGGACTCAAGCCAGAAAAGAGGAGGGAATTACATCCGCAGCTCTCCCAGGACTCCGCGCGCTTTTACAGACTCCGCCCCTCCAGGGATCCCTTGAAGGCTACCGGCAAAAGAGCAACTTGGCACCCGCAATGATAACTCTGCCTGGATGCTTAGAGCAGTGCAAGGGACTCCGAAGAAGCCCCTAGCCCACTTGGGGGATCAGGGAGGATTAGGAGCAGATGATTGAGTACTGAAAGAGTTAGCTAGGCGAAAAGGGGCGGGAAGGGCCTCCTAGGCCGAAATTGTATGGAGAAAGATCTTTAGGTAGAGGGAAATGAGACCAGATAGGAAGGCAGAAGCAGATTTGCAGTGAAACGAAAGAAGCTTAAGTTTCAGGACCTATCATTTGCATGTCCCCTTTCAAGGACCTGTACCTGCTTTTTTTTTTTTTTTCTTGAAACGGAGTCTTGCTCTGTTGCCCAGGCTGGAGTGCAGTGACACGATCACAGTTCACTGCAACCTTCGCCTCCTCGGTTCAAGCGATTCTCCTGCTTTAACCTCCCAAGGAGCTGGGATTACAGGTGCGCACCACAACACCCACTAGTTTTTGTATTTTCAGTAGAGACGGGGGTTTCACCAGGTTGGCCAGGTTGGTCTCGAACTCCTGACCTCAAGTGATCCACCCACCTCAGCCTCCCAAAGTGCTGGGATTATAGGCATGAGCCACACCCTGCTGAGTTTTGTATTATTTTTCTTAAATATACCCTCTCAAATAGTGGAAGCCCCACAAGACTTGACATCACCAGTAGGGATCCAGTGGAGAGGAGGGACATGATCAGAAACTGATTTTTGTTGTTGTTTCTTCTTTGAGACAGAGACTCCCTCTGTCGCCCAGGCCGTAGTACAGTGGCGCAATCTCTGCTCACTGCAACCTCCACCTCCCGGGTTCATGCGATTCTCTTACCTCAGCCTCCCAAGTAGCTGAGACTACAAGCATGCGCCACCTTGCTCAGCTAATTTTTGTATTTTTAGTAGAGATAGGGTTTCATCATATTGGTCAGACTGGTCTTGAACTCCTGACCTCGTGATCCGCCCACCTCAGCCTCCCAAAGTGCTGGGATTACTAGTGTGAACCACTGTGCCCAGCCCAGAAACTGTTGTTTTTTTTTTGAGACGGAGTTTCGCTGCTGTTACCCAGGCTGGAGTGCAATGGCATAATCTCGGCTCACCGCAACCTCCGCCTCCTTGGTTCAGACAATTCTCCTGCCTCAGCCTCCTGAGTAGCTGGGATTACAGGCACACGCCACCATGCCCAGCTAATTTTTTGTATTTTTAGTAGAGACGGGGTTTCACCATGTTGACCAGGATGGTCTCGATCTCTTGATCTCGTGATCCACCCACCTTGGCCTCCCAAAGTGCTGGGATTACAGGCTTGAGCCACCGCGCCTGGCCCAGAAACTGTTTTTTAAAATGATCTAAACAATCGATTATCAGAGTGGGTAGGAGTGAGGCAAGGAGATCAGAAGGCATAGAGATTGGCTGGGATTACCCCAAGAAAGGGTTCTTGGATCTCATCCAAGAAAGAATTTAGGGTGAGTCCCAATGCAAAGTGAAAGCAAGTTAATTAAGAAAGTAAAACAATAGGCCAGAACACTGCACTCCAGCCTGGGCAACAGAGTGAGACTCCATCTCAAAAGAAAAGAAAGTAAAAGAATAAAAGAATGGAGGCGGGCGCGGTGGCTCACACCTATAATCCCAGCACTTTGGGAGGCTGAGGTGGGTGGATCACAAGGTCAAGAGATCGGGGGTTCAACATGGTGAAACCCCGTCTCTACTAAAAATACAAAAATTAGCTGGGCATGGTGGTGCGTGCCTGTAGTCCCAGCTACTCAGGAGGCTGAGGCAGGAGAATTGCTTGAACCCAGGAGGCGGAGGTTGTGGTGAGCTGAGATCATGCCTTGCACTCCAGTCTGGATAACAAGAGTGAAGCTCCGTCTCAAAAAATAAATAAATAAATAAAAGAATGGATATTCCATAGATAGACCAGCCCCAAGGGCTGCTCGTTGCCAATTTTATGGTTATTTATCGATGATATGCTAAACAAGGGGTGGGTTATTTGTGCCTCCCCTTTTTAGACCACATAGGGTAACTTCCTAACATTGCCATGGCATTTGTAAACTGTCGTGGTGCTGGTGGTAGTGTAGCTGTGAGGATAACTCTTGTCACCGTTTTGGTTTTGGTGGGTTTTGGCGGGCTCCTTTACTGCAACCTGTAGTACTTACTGCAACCTATCAGCAAGGTCTTTATGAGCTTTATTTTGTGTGGATCTATCTCATCCTGTGACTTAGAATGCCTTAACTGTCTGGGGATGCAGCCCAATAGGTTTCAGCCTCATTTTACCCAGCTCCTATTTAAGATGGAGTTGCTCTGGTTCACATGCCTCTGAGAGTGAGCCGCTGCCCCTGGCGGAAAGCTTAAATTTTCTTATTGGCAACAAATACCGCCAGTTATTTTCCTTTAAGTGACAGGCTCACTTTGTTCATTTTTCAAGAAAAATGCCGGCTGGTCTGGTGGCTTACGCCTGTAATCCCTGCACTTTGGGAGGCCGAGGCAGGCATTCGAGACCAGCCAGGCCAACATGGCAAAACCCAGTCTCTACTACAAACACAAAAATTAGTTGGGTGTGGTGACATATGCCTGTAATCCTAGCCACTCAGGAGGCTGAAGCAGGAGAATCGCTTGAACCCAGGAGGCAGAGTTTGCAGTGAGCCGAGATTGCACGACTGCACTCCAGCCTGGGCAACAAGAGTGAAACTCAAAAAAAAAAAGAAAAATGCTAATATATTAAAGTATATTAAATAATATGTAACATATTAAAATATATTATGTCATATATAATTATATTATATAATATATAATTATGGGTTAGTTTTCTTGGTTTTTTATTTTTTTCTATTAAGATGATCATACAGTTTTACTTCTTTTTTTTTTTTTTTTTTTTTAGAGATGGAGTTTTGGTCTGTTGCCCAAGCTGGAATACAGTGGTACAATCTTGACTCACTGCAACCTCCACCTTCCAAGTTCAAGCAATTCTCCTGCCTCAGCCTCCTGAGTAGCTGGTATCACAGCCATGCACCACCACACCTGGCTATTTTTTGCATTTTTAGTAGAGACAGTTTCACCATATTGGCCAGCCTGGTCTCGAACTCCTCACCTTAAGTGATCTGCCTGCCTCAGCCTCCCAAAGTTCTGGGATTACAGGTGTAAGCCATTGAGCCTGGCCAGTTTTACTTCTTTATTTCATTACTATGATGAATCATATTGACTGACTTTTCAGTATGAACCAACTTTGTATTCTTTTTTTTGAGACGGAGTTTCTCTCTTGTTGCCCAGGCTGGAGGGCAATGGCACGATCTCGGCTCACTACAATCTCCACCTCCAGGGTTCAAGCGATTCTCCTGCCTGAGCCTCCCAACTAGCTGGGATTACAGGCATGCAGCACAACACCCAGCTAATTTTGTATTTTTAGTAGAGACAGGGTTTCTCCATATTGGTCAGGCTGGTCTTAAATTCCCAACCTCAGGTGATCTGCCCACCTTGGCCTCCCAAAGTGCTGTGATTACAGGTGTGAGCCACTATGCCTGGCCAACTTCTCAATTTCTTTAATTGATATAGGGCAGCAGTAATTTTACCCCTCCCTCAGGGGACATTTGGTAACATCTGGACATTTGTGGTTGTTATAACTGGAAGGCGATTCTGTCTGGCATCTAGGAAGTAGAGGCCAGGGATACTGCTCAGCAGCCTACAATACACTGGACAGCCCTCCCTCACATCAAAGAATTATCCAACCCAAATATCAACAGTACTGAGGTTCAGAAACCCTAATATAGAGCTATTTGAGTTTTCTAATTCTTCTTGCATTGGCTTTGACAATTTGAGTCTTTTTTTTTTTTTTTTGAGACAGAGTCTTACTCTGTCACCCAGACTGGAGTGCAGTGGTACAATCTTGGTGTACTGCAAACTCCACCTTCCGGTTCAAGAGATTCTTGTGCCTGAGCCTCCTGAGTAGCTGAGATTACAGGCACGTGCCACCACACCTGGCTAATTTTTGTATTTTTTTTTTTTTTTTTTTTTGAGACGGAGTTTCGCTCTTGTGACCCAGGCTGGAGTGCAATGGCGCAATGTCGGCTCACCACAATCTCCGCCTCCTGGGTTCAGGCAATTCTCCTGCCTCAGCCTCCCGAGTAGCTGGGATTACAGGCACGCGCCACCATGCCCAGCTAATTTTTTGTATCTTTAGTAGAGACGGGGTCTCACCATGTTGACCAGGATGGTCTCGATCTCTTGACCTCATGATCCACCCGCCTCGGCCTCCCAAAGTGCTGGGATTACAGGCGTGAGCCGCCGCGCCCGGCCTAATTTTTGTATTTTTAGTAGAGATGAGATTTCACCATGTTGCCCAGGCTAGTCTCTAACTGGCAACCTCAGGTGATTCCCCCTGCCTCAGCCTCCCAAAGTGCTGGAATTACAGGCATGAGCCACCACGCCTGGCCCCAGCACAACGCTAAAATAAAAATTTTAGTCTTTTTTTTTTTTTTTGAGGCAGAATCTCACTCTGTCACCAGGCGCCAGGCTGGAGTGCAGTGGTGCTATGTTGGCTCACTGCAACCTCCGCCTCCAGGGTTCAAACAATTCTCCTGCTTCAGCCTCCCTAGGCTGGGACTACAGGCGCGCTCCACCACGCCCAGCTAATTTTTGTATTTTAGTGGAGACTGGGTTTCACTATGTTGGCCAGGATGGTCTTGATCTATTGACCTCATGATCCACCCACCTCGGCCTCCCAAAGTGCTGGGATTATAGGCATGAGCCACCACGCCTGGCAATTTTAGTCTTTTAAAGAATGTGTTCAGGCGGGGCGCGGTGGCTCAGGCCTGTAATCCCAGCACTTTGGGAGGCCGAGGTGGGTGGATCACCTAAGGTCAGGAGTTCGAGACCAGCCTGGCCAACATGGAGAAACCCCATCTCTAAAAAAAAAAAAAAATGTGTTCATTTCATCTAAGGCGTTGTCTTCATGTAAAGTGTTTCAGAATATTCCATTATTATCCATTTAATGTCTATAGGAGGGGCAGCAAACTGTAGCCACAGCCCAATTCAGCCTGCAGCCTGTTTTTGAAATATAAATACATAATGTTTGTGTCTCCTTTACCGCTGCAACAAAGTAGTTGCTCCACAGATCATGTGGCCCACAAAGCCAAACAGGGTCCCTGAATCTTTACAGAAAAAGCTTGCTGACCTGTGGTTTATGGAATCCTTAGTGATGTCCCCTCTCTTACTACTGA